AATTTTCACGCCCCTGTGCATGAAAATTATTCTTTTTCTCGTGAGCACATACTCCCCACACGATCTCTCTAAACAGCTTTTTTTTTGCAAAACAAAACAAAACAAAAAGAGTACCCCTAACGGGCCACACTTATAAAAAAAAAAACACTACTAGATCGGGAGGTCTGTTCATTGGCTGGCTCGTGTGATTTTCTCGTCGTACAGAAGAACGGGGGGCGGTCCATCATCATCATCACCAGCTAGAGAGGGGGGAGGTATCCATCATCATCGCTGGAGGGGGGGTGGTGTCCATCATCAGCTTGCGAGGGGGGTGGTATCCACCACTGCAGCCCTGAGGGGAAGGGTGCTATCCATCGTCATCAGCTAGAAGAAAGGAAAAAAAAAAAGTTGAAAAATTTCCCGGCTTGTGCTGCTGCTGCTGCTGCTGATTGTTTGAACAGGACGCTTCCGCCACCGCTTTAGATAACAGCAACAGCAGCAGCAGCAGAGGCGACACACCCTCTCGCCCACAATGAGTGTAGAGAGGTGCACAGCACAGCAGTGGTACTACATCGTCTAGGAACGAGCGTGACATGTTACTGGTCCCGTGCTGTGATGTATGTGTGCCTCCCTCCAGAGCATTGTCAGAGGCCGCTCCCTCCCGCCGCGTCGCAACACAATAACAACAACCAACCGATGGACCCACAGAGACCCAATCAATATCTCTCCTCTCGCTTCCTCCGCCGAAAGCTAGCAGCAGCAGTAGTATAGGGCACACCCTGCTCCCGTCCCGCTCTCGCTGTGTGGTGTGTGCAACACACGCTGGTTGGTGGGACTCCCTCTCTCTCCAGAGAACAAAATGCGAAGAAAAGGCTGGCAGCGTTGAACAACGACAACAAACAACGGAGACAGCAGCAACAACATCATCAGCGATGAATGAACCCCAGACCAACCAAACGTTCCCCGCTTCCTCCGCCGTCGCCAACAGCAGTATGTGTGTGTGTCCCGCCCCCCTTGTCCATGTTCCCTGTCTCTGTGTAGTGCGTGTCTTGCCAGTAGCAGCAGCAGTGTGTGCAGCACGGCGGCAGTGCGTCGTGGTTTCTTCTTGCGTGCGTGTAGTTTGTTGCCCAGAGAAAAACAAAAATGACGACGCCTCCCGGGGATGCGTCCATGTGACATATATATTTGCACAAACGGTGTGCTATCTCGAGACACCGACCACGGATTGCAAAGGTAGCGGTTGGGACAGCTCGGGCAAAATATTACTTGTTGTGCGCAAGTTTTAGTTTGCAATTTGGTGCCGAGATGGTGAAATGGGCTCGAGTCTGCTGTGTATTTAGGGCGCGCAGACACCAGACACCAGACACCAGACAGCCATGGCTAATTTTTCACGCCCCTGTGCATGAAAATTATTCTTTTTCTTTGTTTTCTCGTGCGCACATACTCAACCACGATCCCTCTAAACAGCTTTTTTTTTGTAGAAAAACAAAACAAAAAGCGTACCGGGCCCCACTTTTTCAAAAGAAAAACTACGAGATCGGGAGGTGGAATAGTTTTTTGTGGTGGTTGCACAAAAGTACCTGCAGTAGGCTCGTGCGTCTGTTTAGACGCACGAGCCTACTGCAGGTACTTTTGTGCAACCACCACAAAAAACTATTCCACCTCCCGATCTAGTATTGACAAACTAGGTTTGCGATTGAGGGGGGCGACGTGGATTGCCGTTACAAGGACGCATACGAGAGGTCCTGGACAGTCGCTATGGGAGGGCCGGACAATCTCTTGGGCGAAACCGGGCCTGGGAACCAACCCGCTCATCAACCACACCCTTGCCTTCTGCGACATCATCGGTGAGGGGTGCTTGCCTCTCTAACCCTAACCCTACATAGCGATCTGGCTGTGAGCAGCGTGGTGAACTGGCCTAACCTGCCGCAAAAAACTGCGTCTGTGACCGTAAAACCTAGTCATCTGGCTGTGAACTATTACACGGTGGCATATAATTAGTGGGAGCAATTTTTTGCTTTTTTTGGCGACAGTATTTTTTTCTCTCAATCAAGCAGTGTTAAAAAATATTCTGGGACAGCTGGAAACAAGCACTACTGCCCAGAGGCTTTATACACAATCTACAGCACGGTTAGCAGATTCACCACGCATCAAATGAAACACGGAAACCACAGCTTTCAAATGAGCCGGGTCTTGCTCTCATCAGACAACCATAAGGTACAGCAGTCGCCGGCGAATACAGGGTACTTTTTCACTACATTTTTGTGCGAGCCTGAAAAAAAAAACAGAACGGATGCGAATTAGCCATGCATGTAGAACGTTTTGGAAACCCTATGATTTCGCGCGCGCGCACATCAGACCAGCGTTGGACACAACGCAGCCGTTGTCGAGTACTGCACGCTCAAAGAGGGGCCTCTCAGCTATCGGCCGATGGCGAAGCCGAAGGGCAGGAGGCAGCCAACTGGTCGTATAGTTGGACGCCCTTCCAAGTCGGACAAGAGAGCCAAGACAGCAGCAGCGAGAGGTGCGTTGGCCCAGGAGAGACTCCAAGCTGAGCTCGAGCAGCAACGTGCAGCGCTCGCGGCGGACAGAGCAGAGATGGCGCAGAGGGAGGAAGCGCTCAGAGCGAAGGAGGCTGCGTTAGCCAAGAGGGAGCAATAAATGGCGAGCGCCGCTGCACAGCGGGAAAAGCGTGACCAGCAGGAAGTTGAGCGCGTCCAAGCAGCAGCTGCTGCTGAGGCGGAGAAGGTTGCTCAGGGCCTGGACTACATGGACACATCTGTGCACGAGGTGAAGCCGAAGTAGGGCGAGGTCTGGACCCAGTTGCAGTCAAAGATGGTCCTCATGCTACTCTCCGACCTCCGCAAGGAAGGTTGCTCTGAGAACGAGGCGGTGTTGCAGGTCAGTACNTTGAAGGTCAGTACACAGCAGTGAAGGTCGGATGGTGTGGCACAGCAGCAGGCCGATGTCTTTTTTAAATATTCATCTTGATCAAAGAGGGGTAACGGTTGGTTTTTGAATCTATACTCCGGAACAGTATGTTCATGTGTGGTGTGTGTGTTTTCGTTGCATTTATGTCGGGCGCGAGCCTTTGCCGTTCGTTACACGGTTGACGCACCTGTCTACGTTACACAAATGTTCAGCAGGAATAATTGTACTGTTGTACAGCAGTTCTTTACAGCAGTACTTTTCAGCACCTGAGCAGGCTTGCATGTGTGATGTCTCTCTGTGCAATGTCCAAGTGAACTGACCTTGTTCATAAACGATGTTGCAATATTTTCTCTTCTCTGGACCTCCCTATGCTGCCAGGTTGCGCGCACTTTCAAGATCGGCCACGACAAGGTCAGACGCATCAACAACCACTGGTGGGATCACCGCCAGTTGTACGAGACCACCGCCGTGGGAAGAGGCAAGACGGCAAAGAAGGATGATGGGCGACGCCGCCTCACCGAAGTACAAGAAGATCAACTTCGCGAGTTCATCAATGACGAGCACAAGGCCGGTCGTCAAGTCTTTCGCCGCACGGTGGCAGAATGGATGCACAGGACTTGCAACATGGAGCAGCCGTCCAACCGTTCGGCAGGAGGGCTGCTGAGTAGGCTCGGCTACAAGCGTCGTAGAGGCAGGATCAAAACGCCACCGTTAAACGCCGAAAGACTTGCTCGCATTCGTCGGTTTCTTGTGATGAACATGGCAAAGAGGGCAGAGGATGCTGGGTTAGCAGTGATCGTGTACATGGATGAGAGTTTTGTCCACCAGGCTCATGGTTCCCCCTATTCTTACTTTCCTTCGGACGAGGATGGAGTTGTGCAGGATGGGATTGGTCGCACAACGGGGAAGGGCTTGCGCATGATCATGGTGCATGCAATCACGAAGTGGGGGCCGTTGGCTAAGCTTTGTGATGGGTTACCGATCGAAGAGGGCTGGTTCAAGGAAACGGGTAGCGGCAAGAAGGAAATGGAAGATGAGGAGACAGCAGAGTTTCTGTGGCAGGCTAAGTTGGCAAAGGGCGATTACCACGCAGCAATGACCGACTCGATGTTCATGGAGTGGCTTGAACACCGCCTTAGCCCTGCGTACAACGCGATCCCGGAGTTCAAAGGCAAACGGATGATTCTTGTTCTTGACAACGCCTCATACCACCATGGATTTGTCTCGGAAGTCAAAGTGCCGGAAACCAACACCAAGAAGCACAACGTCGATCTGTTGCGTATGTTTGGGGCCAAGTCGATCAGGGTTAGGCGTAAGGAGGGCGAACAGGGCGTTGTTGAGTACAACTTCGAGGTACCGACAGAGCCTGGTTCTTCATTCCCTGCAGGGAACAGGGAGGGCGGTGTAAGCAGAGCGGAGGTAGCAACGGCCACTCGGGAGTACATCCACCTCAATCACCCTGAAAGGCTCGAGGAACGGGTGGTGACGTTCATGAGGAAAAAGGGGTGGGCGTTGATTTGGACGCCGCCCTACATGCCGTCCTTTCAACCGATCGAGCTTTTTTGGCAGCATGGTAAGCAGTACGTCAGCCTTAACTTTGAGTTGAAGCGAAAGATGCGGGAGGTGTGGGTGCAGATTCGTAAAGGTTGGTACGGGGACAAGGAATGGCCAGGCCAGGAGGGGGGGTGGAAGGCAGCCGATTGTTCGAAGCTGGTTGACCACGCCATTGGAGAGATGAATAAGTGGGTCAAGGACCGTGATGGAGTGCTTTCTGGTACGATAGGCAGCCTCGAAAAGCCGGACGGGTACGATACAGATGATGTGTCGCCCGTGGGTGATGTCGAGGAAGGGGTAGGGGAGCAGATCCAGCAGGAAAGCGCAGAATGGGGTGATGGCAGCGACGAGGTTGAACCATGATGAGATTTTTTTCAGCCTTGTGATCAATTGCTACACCCATGCACTGGGTGTACCATGTTCCAACAGCACACATGTGTGATTGCTGTGCGCGGGGAGTTGCGTCCCTGCTTCCAGCTGCTGCAGTTGTTGAAAAAAAAATCGAAAATATTCAATTGTCGACAAGTCTTACCCCGGATGCAGCTTGCCACACGTCAACTGCATTCATGTTCTATCTTCTTGCGTATTGACCGCCTTCGTCATGGAAGCGTTTTGCGCTACTGTATGCCGACAGGCGCTTAAAAATGTTGAGTTGCAGGCCGAGAAGTGGGGATACCAATGTTGGCCGCATGTTGCTGGGCATTTTTTCCGATTTTGAATCTCTGCTCAGGTACACGACAAGCCATAACTCAAGCATTTTGATTTTTTTTTTTTATGTCTTTTTTTCATCGTGACCGCCTTTTCCCTGTCGTCAATTTGCGCTATCGTCTGCTGTGCTGCGCATCGTATTGCGAAAGTTACACTCCGAAACGCATATCTTTTAAATTGCTCCTATTAACTATGTGCCACCGTAATAGTCTACTGTTGTAGACTACATGTAACAATGCATGTGCCCTGCTTACACTCCACTCCGTAACAAGTTTCGTTTCAGGGAGGGCATGAGGGCAACGCTGATGTGGTTGTTTGGCTGTGAACATCGGACTTATCAGTCCATGTGTAACGGCTTTGCTGCTGTAACCACATGTGTAGGTAGACAGGCCAGCCATTCATAGGACCGTTACCACTCGGGTAATTAAGAGCCCCGCCGAGGATCTTGTTGGCGTCGTCGGGATCGCATGAGTGGATTTAGTACACGTAGTTGAAGTGCTTTGCCTGTATTTATGATCGTTAAGCATCGTTGAGCATAGTGAAATTAAGCATTGTTGAGGGCAACGATCGTCGGCGCCGAGTATCGTGTTGGCGTCGAGAATCGTTGAGCATCGTTGACATCGTTGAAAATCGTCGAGGTGAGGATCGTTGACGCCGACGACCGTTGGTGTCGAGGATCGTTTGCGCCGGGGATCGTTGGCATCGAGAACCAGTGAGCATCTGTGAAGGTGAGGATAGTTGACGGTGAGGATCGTTGCGCATCGTTGAAGTTGAGCATCGTTGAGGGTACGGGTCGTTGAACCCCGCGATCGTTGGCGCCAAGGATCGTTGAGGGTGATATTCAGTAAGCATCGTTCGGCATCGTTGGGCATATTGAAGTTGAGGATCGTTGAGGGCGATGATAGTTGGCGCCGAGCATCGTTGAGGCCGAAGATCGTTGAGAATCTTTCGGCATCTTTGAGCATCGTTGAGCATCTTTGGGCATCGCTGAGTACCCTTGGGGGAAAGGATCGTCGGCGCCGAGGATCAACGAGCATCGTTGAGCATCGTTGAGCATCACCGTGGTGATGATCGATCGCTGAAGCCAATTGTTGTTGGTGTCGGCAATCGTTGAGCATCGTTGAGGGTGAGGATCGTTGAGGGTGAGGATCGTTGATGCAGAGGATCGTTGGCGTCGACAATCGTCGAGCATCATTGAACATTGTCAAGCATCGGCGAGGGTGATGCTCGTTAGCGTCGAGGATCGTTGGCGTCGAGGACCGTTAAGGGTTAGGATCGGTATGCTTTGTTGAGCATCATTGAGCATCTTCGAGTGAGCATCGTTGAGGGTGATGATCGTTGACGCCGAGGATCGTTGGCGTCGAGATTCGTTCCACATCACTGAGCACGTCGAGGGTAAAGATCGTTGTTGCCGACGATCGCTAGATTTGAGGATCGTCGGGAGTGAGGTTCGATAACGTCGAACGTGCGGGTCAGGATGATTGAGAGTGAGTATCGTTGGTGCCGAGGGTCGTTGGCGTCGAGGGTTGTTGGAGTCGAGAGTCACTGAGCATCTTTGAGAGCATCATTGTTGAGCGTGAGGATCGTTGACGGCGACGATCTTTGGTGTTGGCAATCGTTGAGCATCGTCGAGGATAATTGAGCATCGCTAAGGGCGAGGATCGTCGGCGTCAAGGATTGCTTGCGTCGAGAATCGTTGAGCGTTATGACCGTCGTTGAGGGTGAGGATCGTTGATGCCCAGGATGGTTGAGCATCGTTGAGCATTATTGAGGGTAAGGATCGTTGACGCCGAGGATCGTTGGTGTCGAGGATCATTGCCCATCGTTGGGTGTCGTTGCGGGTGAGGGTCGTTGTTGCCGAGGATCGTTGAGGGTAAGGATCGTTGGCGTCAAGGATCGTTGGCGTCGAGGATCGTTGAGCATCGTTGGGCATTGTTCAGGGTGAGCATCATTGAGGGCGAGGATCTTTGACTCCGAGCATTGGTGGCGTCGATGATCGTTGAGCATCATTGAGGGTAAGGATCGTTGGCGTCGACGATCATGGGAGTCGCGTACCGTCAAGCATCGTTGAGCATTGGCAAAGTTGAGGATCGTTGAGGGAGGGGATCATTGAGTATCGCTGGGCATCATTGAGCATCATTGAGGGTAAGGATCGTTGGCGTCGACGATCATGGGAGTCGCGTACCGTCAAGCATCGTTGAGCATTGGCAAAGTTGAGGATCGTTGAGAGGGAGGATCGTCGGCATCGAGGATCTTTGGCAGGGAGAATCGTCGAGCATTGTTGCCCATAGGTGAGGGTGAGCATCGTTGACGCCGAGGATCGATTACGCCGAGAATCGTTGAGCGTCGTTGAGGGTGAGGATCGTCGGCATCAAGGATCGTTGAGGGTGAGGATGGTTGGCATCGAGAATCGTTGAGCATTGCTGAGCATCATTGAGGGTGATGAACGGTGACTCCGAGAATCGTCGGCGTCGAGAATCATTGAGCATCGTTGAGCATCGTTGAGCATCGTTGAGCATCGTTGAGCTTCGTTGAGGGTGAGGAGCGTTGGCGTCGACGATCGTTAGGCGTTGTTGATAACCGTTGATCATTGTTGACAATTGTTGACCCCGAGGATCATTTACGCAGAGGATCGCTGGCGTCGAGGATCGTTGAGCATAGTTGCGAGTTAGGATCGTTGACGCCGAGCACCCTTGAGGGTGAGGATCGTTGAGCATCGTTGACGCCGAGGATCGTTGAGGATCGTTGAGGGAGGGGATCATTGAGTATCGCTGGGCATCATTGAGCATCATTGAGGGGGGGGGGGGTCGTTGATGCAAGCATCATTGAGGGTGAGGGCCGTTGAGAGTGAGCATCGTTGACGCAGAAGACAGTCGGTGTCGCGGATCGTTGAGCATCATTGAGCTTCATTGAGAGCGACGATCGTTGACGCCGAGTATCCTTGAGGGTGAGGACCGTCGAGAGCTAGCATGTTGACTCAGAGGATCGTTGGCTTCGAAGACCGTTGAGCATCGTTGTGCATCGTTGAGAATCGTTGAGGGTGAGGATCGTTGGCACCGACGATCGTTGGTGTCGAAGATCGTTCACGTCGAGGATCGCTGAGGGCGAGATTCCTTCCAATATTTCCAAGGTGGCTCAGACGTTTCCCCTTTGGTATATGTTACCAATATCACTTCCCGCCTTTTCAGCCCACTTCTCCTGCCCCAGCTCAGTCATACGTTTTCTCTCCCCTTTTCGTATCCTGCAACTAGATGAACCCGGTCTTCGGACTCGGGGCCGCATTCGCATTCGAAGTCGTCGTCGTCATCGTCTACCTTTCGGGGTACGCACGCTCAACCAAAAGCACACAACACAAAACAACTCACCGCGACAGAGGTTACGTAAAAGCCAACTCGCATTCCACTCCGTGACCACTACTGGCTGCACGGTACGGGAAGCTATGGTAAGCTGCTGCGTACCAGACTCCCCACTTCGCCGTATGCCTTCCAGCCGGCAACAACACGGTACCTAGATGATGCGTCCCCACAAGGGGCTGAATCTTTGCCTGCTGTGCGTGTTTCCTGTACCGTACGATACGTACACCTGCTTGCACACTGGTGTCGATAGCCCTTTTCCCCCTGGGCCTGCTCCGCTGCCGGGGCCGACATCGACCTGGTGAGTCCCTCGCGGGCGAACCAGGCCACAATAGACAGTAGGCGGGTGGTGTCCCAAGGTGCAACTCACCGCCGCGCTGGCTCAGCGTGGCGGTGAGGATG